CTAGAAAGATGTTTACAGCAAAGTACTCCCAGAGTTATTGCTGTCAAGAAATAACAAGAATAATGTTGCAGTAGTTCTGTTTCTGTCACTAAAAATTAGACGTCTTAGTGATTTTCCGGATGGTGGCAGGCTGTGTTTGTAGGTCATAACCATGGATTGGACTGGTGTTGCCCCTACAAGAAGCTGTGGCTGTGCTACGCTCGCCACTCGGGTTATGGAGGGTATGGAAACTGGCCAAGAGGAGCTAGGATTTTGGAGATAACACAGCAACCATTTTCTTTAAAGTCATGGATTCGAATGCAAGATGGTCATGTGCACAGTGAAGTCCTCTTGAATTCTTGATATTTGTAAGACTACGTACAATAGACTCTTGTGGTCCGTCCCTTTCCCAGATCTCGCGCATAGCGGAGCTTAGCGTACCGCGCTGTCCTTTTTTTTATCTTACAAGATCACATATCAAGTACTAGGTTATGTACAAGAAAAGAAGGATGTGAGGAGCTGCATTCATGTCATATGATTGCTATTAGTTAGAGCAACATGACATTGTAATTTGCCTTACAGGTATGATATGAAATGAAGTGAATTCCATTATTTGTATTCAACTTTGTCAGCAAGTTTGATGAGTTATTTTTGTATGAATAGAGTTGATTCCATTATCTGCTTTTTACATTGCCCTAATCAAGTTTGATAAGGGTCTGGTTACGTGTAGTAGCGAAGCTAGAAATTTTTACGCGGTAATTCAAACAAATAATACAGGGGTGTGATGTAGACAACCTAACCTAATGCAAACATTAGTGGTTGCTTCCATGGTTCGAACTCGTGACCTATAGGTCATACTGAGACAACCTTTACCGTTACTCGGAGACTCTCCTTCAATTCAAACAAATAATAGATAATGATATATGATCATGCCCAACTATGCCTTATAAAAAGGACTAAGCGGTCGTTGCAAATATAACCCGGTTTATAAGTCCGGAGTCGAATCTCACAGAGAACTAAGGCTTAGCTACAACTGTTCAATATTGCTAAGAAGACAAGCTCGAACAATTCCTAAGTTATAAATATTAAGGTTCTTATATCTAATTAACTAAATAATTAAATTGGTAGATTAACAACTAAAGATACTACGGGTTGGAGAAAAGATTAAGGAGGTCTAGAGTTATGATTTTCCCAATTGTCGGAATTCTTCCCGCTATGTCTTCTCTACCGATCATGAACGCTTTGCGTGTTGTAATTCTCTCCCGAGTAATTACGACAATTTACTAGACATACTCTCCCGAGTTACGCTAGCTGACTTTAATTACAGCTCACTTAGATCGCACCCAAGGTTTCGTTATCCCTAATCCCATCTTTAAACCCTTGGTTATTAATTCCTCACATACGTCGGGAGTGATGTTGTTCAACAACTACCTAAATATGCACTCTTTCCCGAGTAATACATACTAAATAGGCACAGCTAATTGAGGATCCTATCAATTAACTACAACAAGAACGTAGTTGAACAAATAGAGATTATACTACGACTCAATTATATAAAAACATAACAAAAATTTATCCTACAAAAGGTTCCATCAAAATCCTAGATAACAAACTAGCTATTCATAATAGTATGTAAAACTACAATACTAAAAGTCATAACCAACAATGAAAAATAGGAAGAGGAAGGAAGAACTTTGCTGCGCCTTGCTCCTATTGTGTCTCTGCCTCCTTAGGTCAAATCTGTGTCTCAAATCTGCCCAACCTCTCAAAATAGCATTTTTACATGTATTTATACCAAGTAGGGTCGGACCCAGACGAAAAAAATCCTTTCCTGCGCGAACTAGGACTTCGCTCTATAAAAGTTGAACAGCCGCGCCGCAGGCTGCGCTGCACCATGCGGCACGTTAGTGCATTTTATCAGCAGCTTCAACTTTTCGCATCAGGCAGCATTTTACACTGCTGCACCGCGACAGTGTAATTTTCTCAGAGTGAACTTATTTTGTCCTCTTTTAACATCCGGACTTGGTACACGACCTCCGAACACGATCCCGGCTTAATGTATTGGGCTTTTACTCAGACTTCAAAGCTCCAAATTGATCAATTTAGCTCCAAATTAACTTTTGAGCTCAGGATCACTTCCTGCAAGCCATTAAACACGTATTTAGCGCAATTCACTATCATTTGAACTCAAACGCACGTAAAAAAATGCAGTCATTGGCATATAATACTACGGCTAAAACACGGATTTCTAGCCTAACATCAATATAGTTGGGGTTTGTACCCGTGACTTAAAGTAACTTTTGAACCCCATTTACTACTATTTTGAAATCTTTCATATTTTGTAAATGAGATTCAATGGTTTATACATAACAAAAGAAAATTATTTTTTGCTATATTTGTGCAGTATGATTTTTCGACGAAGGGGACAATTGGATCCCCTTCAATTCACGCGTAGCTTCACCCCTTGGCTGTGTGCCCTCCCGAAAGTGAAGCAGGCCATAGAGCAGGGGAAGTTGAACCATCAACGTACTCGATGGTATAGCCGAGGTGCATATAAGTTGATCTCAGAACCATTATTATTAAAAAAAAAAAATAGAAAATATGAACCAGAATGTGCTGGCCTATAATAAGTACAAGCACAAGTTAGTAATGATGGCTGCTTTTACTTAATTATTTTGCTTTTTTATAACTTTCTGCGCTCAAATCCATGCTTAGATATCCTTTAATCATTATATTTTCCCAATTTATATAAGGCTCCAATATGGTCCCATTTTTAAACTTCGATTATTATATTCCACTTAAATTCCCAGAACCTTTGTCACTTTTTTTATCCCCCTTTATCCATTAATAATAATAATAATAATAATAATAATAATAATAATAATAATTCGGTATTTACATATATTAGAAATATGAGTGAAATATTGAAAGAAATTTTGTTTCAAATTTTTTTTCCAAGTGAAATTCATGTTTAAACGTGATAATTTCCAGATATTCCTTTTTAATTTCAACTTCAAATTCTCTTCTTTGATCGTCAACCAAATATTGTTCAAACGCCTACTTGGTGTTATAAAATTAGGTCATTGTCGAAAACTAACCTTTTAATTTAAAAAAAATGCATCATTCTTGAAATTTTTTGTCGAATAAGGGTGATCGTCGAAAAAGCATGAGAATTTTCTCCTACTATTAAAATTTACGAGAAATTGAATAATTGAGTTGCGTGCAAATTAACTCAGAGTACTATTATTATCAAAACGTTATGGGAAAAATATTTAACGCAATGAAATTGTAAATGAGCAAATAGAAGGAACATATATCTATCAAAATATAATGATACTATTGTGACAGTGTGACACTAAATTCTGACAATGGAAATTCTTGTGTTACAAAAGGAAGCATTAAAAATTGTCCAATTTAAAGGGGTTCTGCAATTATGTGTGATCATTTTTTCCCCTATGAGAAAACATGCATCAAGAAATTATTTATTTCAATTCAAGTTACAATAAATGAAGCAGAATGTGCAATCATAAAAATTGGAAAATGACTTAATGCTTTGGCAATTGTCACTTTCTTGCATCATCTATAGCTCACTAAATATTTAGTTTTTTTTTTCTTTTCGAAATTGGAACTTTTATGATACTTTTCTTTTTAAGTTGTTGGTACCTTGAACTTTACTGACACAAGTTATAAGAAACTTAAATCGCGACGATTATTTTCATATTTCTGTACTCAGTTCTGAAGCTTTAGATTTCAAAAACATGTCCCTCTACCAATAAGTTTTTAATTAGTAATTTTAATTAAAAATAAATATATTTATGCGTTTGCAAAGAATGATTAGAATTAACTTTCATTTTTTTTTATTATCTCTCATTTTCTATTATTACAAAATATAGGTAATAATTATCTTTGATTACCAAAATTGGGTCCATTGAACAGCTCAAAAGACAAAGGCTATTTTATGCTCCCTCTCAAAGTTCTCTTCAAGGCCATGATGGAGTAGTGAGTCAAAAGAAATAGTCCCCATTAAGGACATCTTTCTATAAGGGGCCTAAAAAAGAAAAAGAAAAGAACAAGTTGCTTAGGTATAAATAAAAATTATTTGGACAACTTTATGAGTCAAAAAAGGGATAGATATTCACATGGATAATAAAAAAGGGCAGCAAGTGTACTAAACTCCTGCTATGCGCTAAGTTCAGGAAAGGGCCGAACCACAAGGGTCTATCGTAAGCAGTCTTACCCTGTATTTTGCAAGAGGTTGTTTTTACGGTTCGAATCCGTGACCTCATGGTCATATGATAACAACTTTACGAGTTGCACCCAGGCTCCCCTTCATTCACATGGATAATCTAATCCAATTTTTTTTTTCCCACAAAACAATTGCAGCCCAGTGAAATTCCACAAATGGGGTTTGGGGAGGATAGTGTCTATGCAGGTCCAGTGGCGGAGCCACCTTATAGGAATGAGTGTCAAATGATACCTCTTTGCAGGAAAAATACACTGTGTAGGATGGTAAAAAAAATATATGTATATATATTTATTATGTATTAACTCCCTTAATTTCATGATATGTTTACTTTTATATATTTTGATACCCGTTAACAAAATTCTGGTTCCGCCGCTATGCAGAAATAGTTAATATGCAGTTAAGAAAATGACATAGGGAAAGAGAGAGGGGGTTGGTTGGGTTGTTGGGGGGGGGAGGGGAGGACCCCTTGATATGATACTAAAGAAAGTACTTGCAAAAGTCTATAATTGAAAAATCAATTCTTTTTTTTTCTTTAAGTTTTTTTCAATCTTCATTTTATTCTCCATCAGCACATGGTATGCTTCTCAAAACATAATTAGTAAAAGACAGTTTGTTCTTGGATATATATAAGAGGAAAATATATGAAGCCACATGGAACAATAGAAACATCAACAGTGTCATTCAAGAATCACTTCCCAAGATTTCTTGGATTTTTCTAAATCTTGCATGTCACCTTTTTTTCACCTAATCTAGGTATGTGTCCTAAATTTTGTATTAAATCATATGGAAAAATTCATCATAATTACCTTGTTTTAATGGAAAATGATTAATTTTTTAAATTTGGTACACCTTAAATACCAAGAATTCAGGTTCCTTAGACTCATGAATGGTTCCACTTTAGCTGCCATCACAAGAATGTTTTCTTACTCCTACTAATTAAGCAAGAGAAGTGAAATTTCAAACGCAGCTTTGACGTAACTAGTAAAGTTGATGTCATGTGATCAGGAGGTCACGAGTTGAGCCGTGAAAACAGCATGGTAAACTTGTTTCTATGTGCCAGGAGGTCACAGGTTCGAGCCGTAAAAATAGCCTATTGCAGAAATGCAGGGTAAGGCTACGAACGATAGACCCTTATGGTCTGATCCTTCCCCGTACCCCATGCACAGCGGGAGCTTTTATGGAAACTGAACAATATTGCTGATGTGAGAAGTTGTGCATGGCTTTGTTCATTCTTCTTGTTTTTTTTCTCTTTTTCTAATGTAAAGTCTTGGAACTTTTTGTTTTTATTGAAAGAAATAGAACTGCCAACTCAAAGAGATTATCTATACTCTTATCAACAATAAAGTGACTGTTTAAATCAGTTTGCTGAATCAGTTTGCTGCAGTCTAATGCATTTGCAAAAATGGGAAAGAGAAGAAATTGGTTTACATTTGTGAAAAGACTACTTTTCATTCCTGAGGCAAAACCAAAAGCTGAAAAGGTTTGATTTTTTCCATTTTCTTGATTTTCTCTTTTTCTTGTTGAGAACTGGTTTATATGATTTATAACATGAATGTGGAATTTTTGTTATTTTATTTTCAGAAACTAAGGAGATGGAAATGGTTTTTGAGAAGGTTAAAATACCAGCATTGTCCTCCAGCAATTGAAGCACCTCAGAAAACACTAATAATTGAGGCAACAGAACAGCAGAGGAAACATGCTTTGGCTGTTGCTCTGGCAACAGCAGCTGCAGCTGAGGCTGCTGTAGCTGCTGCCAATGCTGCAGCTGAAGTTGTCCGACTTACTAATGCTCCGTATGAGCTCGATAGGAAACGGAAGAATGCCGCCATTAGAATCCAAACCGCTTATCGCGCACACCTTGTGAGCATTCTCCCTGGTTTCCCCTTAATTTTCCATAATCAATAGTCAGTTCATTATAAAAGAGTTATTGCGCGTTTGGCCCATGAAAAAGAATTAGGTTTGCACCTCAAAGGAGGCGTGTTGAAGATATAATTAAGTAAATAAAAGTGTGTTCTCAATAACTTAAACTTTTAGATGAGATGATCACACAATTCAACAGAAACAATTTCATTGCGAACTGGTTGGCTTGTTATGGAAATATGATGTGTATTTGATTGCGTCATGTTGAATTTTAGTGAGTAATTAATTATGAAAAGGATTATAAGGAAAAAAATGCAGATATTGCTTTGGTTTCTAAAAATCTTAATATACACTCCATTTACTGATGAATATGATAAGAATTGAAGTTCATTATTTTATCAATGTTTGTAATAGATCAAAGATAAGCTTTTCATGTTAAACTCTGTGACTAATGGAAAAATTAAAACAGTACAGCTATCGAACGATGCACCAATTCGAGCTTGTGTGTATAGCTGTAATTCTTGTTATTTTCCTATGCATTATTTGACTAAGAACATTTTCCTCTTCTTTGCTGAAATGGACTTATGTCAAACTGTGGGATATTCTGCAGGCAAGGAAAGCATTAAGTGCAATGAAGGGACTCGTGAAGCTTCAAGCAGTGATCCGAGGTGAACTTGTGAGACGAAGACTCGTTGCCAAATTGAAGTGCATGCTGCCATTTCAAATGTCAAAGCCGCGAGTTTATCATATCAGAGTTCCTACTGTTGAAGAATACTATGAGAGTATCGAAAAGAAACTTGATAGTAGTCCAGAGGGAAACATGAATTCTAATGAATTAAAAGTAATAGAATTAGTTGCATACAATATTTTTCATTGTCTGAGCCTCCACAGATTTGTTTTACTATAATGATATAAAGTATGTCTAACTTAGCTTTGCCTATTGGCAGCTAAAATGCAACAGCCAAAGGACTTGGGATTTCAGTTTGGCTTCAAAAGAAGCCTTGTGTTTAAGAAGACAAGAAGCCATTGCCAAAAGAGAGCGTATGATGAAATACTCGTTTTCACATCGGGTAACTTCACTTGCATTTAGATTTTCTCAGTTTCTTTTTTTTTTCTGATTTTTACTGCAGATGTAATGTTTTATGGTTTAATTATTCAATACGGTTTTTAGGAGCGGAGAAATGATCATGTTCTGCACGAACCATTATTCAATAAGGAAAATCGTAGGAGCAGCAGGTTCGATCAATGGGCAGAACTTGAAGCACCAAGAAAAGCAGAAATATTTGAGCAACTGAGGTCATTTGCAGACTCAAATACTATTCCTCTAGGTGACATGAACCAGATGGCACAACTCAAAATGAGAGAAGCGCGTAAACAAGATTTCATAGAGGACTTAAATTCTCCGTCATCGCTACCAAGGAGATCATTTTCTCATGTGAAACAGAAATCAATTGGTGAAGATAGCTCTTTACCAAGTTCTCCTATGATTCCTACTTACATGGCTGCTACAGAATCTGCAAAAGCAAAGACTAGATCAATGAGCACACCGAAGCAACGGCTAATGTTGCATGAAACATATTTAGGTCAATGTTCTCCTCACATGCTCAAGCATACTTCTTGGACTTCATTTAATGGTGAAGTGAACAGCAGTACTACAAAGAGTGAAATCTCTCAGCAGACAGCTATAAATGTAAAAGGGTTTTGTCGCGGTTGAAAAGCTTATTTCCAGCAGGGCAAGACAGAAACTTCAAGCGTGCATCAGTTATAGAACTCGAAAACAAATAATCAAGAGAAGCTATAATTTGGATTTGTAGCTGCTTGAGTAAGGAAAAGAAGCATTTTCCTTTTTTGTTTCTGGTTTCGTACTTTTACAGACTACACATATATATATGTAAATAGTTCAAAAATATCTACTTTCTGGTTTGTTTTTGCCCAATTTTGTGTGGTTCAGAGAGTTTGAGTTTGCTTGAGGCAGTGATGGTTGGTGTTGTTTGATGGCTTTTCTTGTAAGCATTTCTACTTCTGATTTTTCATATAGATTTCCTCCTTTGCCTGCTACATTGCATAAGTTTCTTTGAAGAATAATCTTAAAAGCTAGTTTAAATTTTCCCGAAAAATCGACAGCGAAAATAAAGGTGTTTCATTATTGTAATAACTGCTTCTTAGTGAGCATGATGATTTCAGTACATAATGCCAATGGACTACTTCATCTTCATACACAGGACAGTCCTTATTCCTATTAATGCTCTCCTCTTGCTCTTAACTAGTTAAAGTTGATCTGGTACTTTGGCTGCATGTTTGCTGAAAATAGTCCAAAATGCTTCTCAATTTCAGGGTCTTTCTGATCTTCATCAAACAGAGCGAAAACGTAGGTCTCTATTGGCCCGGAAGGCCTTTCCGGACTCCCTCCCTTAACATGCCGAATCAAGTTGTTGTTATAAATCCTGGCATTGCCAATGGATGTTAATTGCCCTGATCCAGCTGAAGGCCAACCACTTTCTGATACAACGATCTCCAAAGACGAGCCACTAGCCTTTTCAAGGGCCGAGTATGTGGCATCTAGGATGGCATCAAAAAGGTTTCGGTAACCTCTTCCGTTATCATTTACAACAACTTCAGGAGATGTAAAAAGTGCATACTCAAGCTTAATTTCTGCATTGTTTGCTATTGCAAAGTAAGGATAAAGGTTGACAAGCAAAGGGGCGCGATTGGTCACTAGGAAGTTGATGATAGGCTCTATAAATCGTCGAACATCATCTCTGAATCTCCCATTTGATGGAGGAGAAGTGTCTGTAGTAAGTCCAGTTTCAATAGCTGTGGAGACTTTGATCTGGTTTCCAAGACCAGCACCAGATATTGCAGTTTGAATGTTTCGCATGGCGTTGAGAAGGACAGGTACATAGAGTTTTCATTTAAGGGACTAACTTCATTTCCAACTGCTATATACCTGAACTTGACATTACCATAGCTCCTAACATTGTTTTGGACCCAAGTATCTGCATTGGCTTGGCTAGCAGCAACATTCTCAAGGTCCGAATTGTTGAAGTTTGGCAAAATGCCAAAGTCCCACATTGGTTGGGAGTTAAGTTTGGAGGGGATTTTTCCCCTATAAAAGAAGGCCTAATGTTTAGGATTGAGACACACCTCTCATTTGCCTTCTCATCTGTTTAAGGCATTTGTATCTTCTCTCTTTAGTATTATTTCACTTGTATTTTTGGAGTGGAATAAAATATTGGTTGTGTCCGAGGAGTAGGCAAAATTAGCCGAACCTCGTAAATTCTGGTGTTTCCTTTATTGTTGTTTTATTGTCTTATTTATTATTTGGTGGCTGTCATAATTTTTGGTATAGTAGTTGTGACTTATTCACACTATATACATTTGGCTTCCGCAACAATTGGTATCAGAGCCAAGGTACTGTCTAAGTATGCTCTGTGGTTGCAGCATAGTCTGATCTTCCACATCAGAAAAGATTTATCTTGGTAACTGAGTCAAGGTTCTGTCTGAGTATGCTCTGTGGTTGCAGCTTAGTCTGATCTTCTACATCAGAAAGGAAATAATCTTGATTTGTGTCGTCAGCTATTAAATAATATTTGTGTCAAAGATGGGAGACAATAAACAAGAAGAATCTACATCAAGTGTCAACAATACGTCATCATTGGCATCTTCGCTTATGACAAGAATTGTGTCAAATGCGAAATTTGCGGTAGAAATATTTGACGGGTCCGGACATTTTGGGATGTGGCAAGGCGAGGTTCTAGATGTCCTTTTTCAACAAGGGCTAGATCTGGCCATTGAAGAAAAGAAACCAGATGTTATTGGAGAAGAAGATTGGAGAATTATCAACCGTGTTGCTTGCGGTACCATTCGATCCTACCTTGCTAGAGAGCAGAAATATCCATACACAAAGGAAACTTCTGCAAGTAAATTATGGAAAGCACTGGAGGATAAATTTTTGAAGAAAAACAGTCAAAATAAATTGTACATGAAGAAGAGACTGTTTCACTTCACCTATGTTCCTGGTACCACGATGAATGAACATATCACCAGTTTCAATAAGTTGGTCACAGATTTGCAAAATATGGATACAACTTATGATGATGGTGACTTGGCCTTAATGTTGTTGGCGTCACTTCCTGATGAGTACGAGCACCTTGAAACTACTCTACTCCATGGAAATGACGAAATTTCTCTCAGAGAAGTTTGTTCGGCTTTGTACAGCTATGAACAAAGAAAGCGAGAAAAACAGAAGGGCGGAGAAGGAGAAGCACTATTTGTGAGGGGTCGTCCTCAAAATCAAACGAGGACAAAGAAGGGAAGATCCAAGTCAAGATCCAGACCCAGCAAAGATGAATGTGCCTTTTGTCGAGAAAAAGGGCACTGGAAGAAAGACTGTCCGAAGTTGAAGAATAAGGCCAAACATAACAATGGAAAGGCCATTATGGATTCAAATGTAGCTGATTGTGATGATTCAGACTTCTCATTAGTTACAACAGAGTCATCAACATCATCAGACATATGGTTGATGGACTCGGCTTGTAGCTATCATATGTGTCCCAACAGGGACTGGTTCGTGGAATTTCAAGAAGGAGAATATGGAGTCATCCACACAGCGGATAACAGCCCTCTTACCTCATATGGCATTGGTTCAATACGATTAAGGAACCATGATGGAATGATCAGAACATTGATAGATGTTCGATATGTACCGGATTTGAAGAAGAATCTCATCTCTGTGGGAGCCCTAGAATCAAAAGGGTTCAAAATCATTGCAGAAAATGGAGTGATGAGAGTATGCTCCGGTGCACTAGTGGTAATGAAGGCTAATCGGAAGAATAATAATATGTACCGCTATCGTGGCAGTACAGTTATTGGGACAGCGACAGTAACATCCAGTGACGACAAAGAGGCAGAAGCAACCAAGCTATGGCACATGCGCTTGGGACATGCTGGAGGAAAATCCTTGAAAACTCTATCAGATCAAGGATTGTTAAAAGGAGTAAAGGCTTGCAACTTGGAGTTTTGTGAGCATTGTGTTAAAGGGAAACAGACAAGGGTTAAATTTGGTACAGCGATCCATAATACTAAAGGCATTTTGGATTATGTACACTCTGATGTTTGGGGTCCTTCCAAAACACCTTCATTGGGTGGGAAGCACTATTTTGTAACCTTTGTTGATGATTTTTCCCGAAGAGTATGGGTGTATACAATGAAGAGCAAAGATGAAGTGTTGGGAATTTTTCTCAAATGGAAGACGATGGTGGAGAATCAGACAGGCAGGAGAATCAAGTGTATTCGCACAGACAATGGAGGTGAATACAAAAATGATCATTTCAATAAGGTCTGTGAAAATGATGGCATCATCCGACACTTCACTGTTAGACATACACCACAACAGAATGGAGTGGCAGAACGTATGAACCGGACCTTGCTGGAGAAGGTACGGTGTATGTTGTCCAATGCTGGCTTGGGCAAAGAATTTTGGGCTGAGGCAATTACATATGCATGCCACCTCATTAATCGTCTACCATCTGCTGCTATTGATGGCAAAACACCATTTGAAAAATGGTACGGAAAACCTGCTGTAGATTATAACTCTTTGCACGTGTTTGGCTCAACTGCATATTATCATGTGACGGAGTCAAAATTGGATCCAAGGGCAAAGAAGGCTATTTTTATGGGAATTACTTCTGGAGTCAAAGGATATCGCTTATGGTGTCCTATGACAAAGAAAGTAATATTCAGCAGAGATGTTACCTTTGATGAATTTGCTATGGTAAATAAGGTAACAGAAGATACCAAACAAAATGAAGGTGCTTCTAAGCAGGTGGAGTTTGAGGGAAAATTTATTTTTCCTACACAAGAAGCAGAGGAGGAAACAAATGAAGATTACCCTCTGGAAGGAGAGCCAGTAGAGGAGATTCCAACTCAGGAATCTCAACAACAACTTGAATCAATAGCAACCAGCAGGCCAAAAAGAACAATAACGAAACCTGTTCGTCTCATAGAGACGGTTGCTTGTGCAACCTCAATTGTAGCTGATGATGTTCCTACTACTTATAAAGACGCTGTCCAAAGTTCAGAAGAAGATAAGTGGAGGATTGCCATGAATGATGAAATACAGTCCCTTCATCAGAATCATACATGGAGATTGGCCAATCTCCCGAAGGGAAAGAAAGCAATTGGGTGCAAATGGGTATTTGCAAAGAAGGAAGGATTTCCTAACCAAGTAGATGTTCGCTACAAAGCAAGATTGGTGGCCAAAGGATATGCTCAAAAGGAGGGAATTGATTACAATGAAGTGTTTTCTCCAGTTGTAAAACATTCCTCCATTAGAATTATGTTGGCTTTGGTAGCACAATTGGATTTGGAACTAGTTCAGATGGATGTAAAAACTGCGTTTTTACATGGAAACTTGGAGGAGGAAATCTACATGACTCAGCCAGAAGGATTCAAAGTTGCTGGAAAAGAAAATATGGTGTGCAAACTTGAAAAATCGTTGTACGGATTGAAACAATCTTCTAGACAATGGTACAAGCGATTTGACGAGTTTATGTTGCGGCAAGGGTACAAGAGAAGCAAATACGATCATTGTGTGTATTTGCACAAGCTTAAAGATGGTTCCTTTGTATATCTTCTCCTATATGTTGATGATATGTTGATAGCTTCCAAGAATTCGGAAGAAATTGATAAGTTGAAGATTCAACTGAAGAAGGAGTTCGAGATGAAGGATTTGGGTGAGGCAAAGAAAATTCTTGGCATGGAGATAATTAGAGATAGACGTTCAAAGAAACTCTGTTTATCTCAAAAGGAATATTTGAAGAGAGTACTTCAACGTTTTGGCATAGATGACAAGACTAAGCCAGTTAGTACTCCACTTGCTTCCCATTTTAAGCTAAGTACTACTATGTCGCCAATGGATGAAGCTGAACGAGAGTATATGTCAAAGGTACCATACGCAAATGCTGTTGGTAGCTTGATGTATGCAATGGTTTGCACAAGGCCTGACATTTCACAAGCTGTTGGAGTTATTAGCAGATATATGCACAATCCAGGGAAGG